TCTCTTTTACCTCCAATATTTATTTATATTATTATATGATGTATAAATTATTTTGGTAATATTTCAATCTATCTAAATTAATGTATTATCTCCTTCATTTAGGATCATAGGGAGTATTATTTTCTTCTAATGTCTGGTAATTACTGTTTTTGTTTAATTTGTAAAAATTTCAAAGCTTGTTTACACGTATATTGACATTCTTATTTTTTTTTCTTTTTTATTCTTACTGTCCCTTTAATAACTGAACATTAAGGACCATATAACATTATTGGTCTACAGATTATAGAAGTTAATAGGAATCATCAAAATATATGCTGAACTGTGTGGAGAGACATTGAATTGAAATTACCTTAAAAATAAATTTGCAAAGTAATTTTTAAAAAATCTTAAACAGATAAAAAGCATATAGAGCCGAACATTATATTGATTGGAACCTACTTATGATATTTAAAAATATGGGGATTAACGTTGTAGAAGGATAAAATTTAAGAAATTATAAGAGCACAAAAAAAGTATAGAGATTAATACAAAAAATATGTTAAAAATTCATGGACCAATTATATTGTAAAGCTACTGCTATAATTTTAATATGAATTAATGACATATGAGAAGTATCGGATAACATATAATTACCAAAAAAATATAAAATGAAAAAGTAGTTCAATTATTTGATTGTCAAAGTCCAATTTGGAATGCCAGATAATGTTGAAATTTACGCGGTGAAAGCGTTGTCATTGACCACTCATTTTCTCACCCAAACGCGGTCTCAAGAACGAAGCATCGCTGAATTTCACGCTAGATATTATAATATTATTTACTCAAGAAAGTTCGAGGAACTCCTCCGATGGAATTACGAAGACATAATTAAAAAATAAATAATAAATGATTATTAAGATAAAATGACAAGAAACAAACTTCATCTCAGCACTCCTAATGAGTAAGAAATACATTTACGTGTTTCTTATCCTCTTGTGTAACTTACTTATGGAGTAAATCTCACTTGCCTGGATATTGAATAAACATTTTTTAATTATAAAAATACACGCATTCTAAAATAAATAAATTGATAAATAACAGCTTGGAATAATAATGATTGTGGACTTTCTTTATATATACATCGATGATTTTATTTGAGAGTTTTGAACGTCAATTATTTTGTCCACTTGGAATTTTGAAGGTGATTACTAGGAAAAATCACCTTTTATGACGCGAGAGTTTATTTGAATGTTCATTATTTTTTAAATAATGGTCAATATAACAATTTGTGTATATCTTAAAATCAAGAAGTCAATAAAAGAATATTTTATATATTGCTTATAACCTGGAACCTTCAGTTACGACACAAGTTAATTTATTATATAAAAGTGATAAATCACGTAATGATCACAAAATTTTTGGGAAAAAAAATTACCATACTTCCTATCAATATATTATTTCCTTTCTCAAAAAAGTGACAATAATAACAATTTAAACTATCATCACATAAAGCTTCAAGAGTATAGAAGCATATAACAAGGTAGGTCAGGACAAAACCAAAAGAAAAAATTATGTTTAGGAATAAAAATATGAGGGTAATTGAGTGATAGAAAATTGTGAATGAGGACTGACATGAATAAGATTATCAATTCACACATGACTTTTTGTGAATGAAGACTGATATGAATAAGATTATTAATTCACACATGACTTCCTCCCTATCATTTTATGATCCTTCTCTCTCTATCATTCGTACCTTTCCACCAGTCCATAACTTTTTTTTTTTTTAATTCCTCATCACCCCATTTCACTCCCTTGCATTTCTTTTCAACAACTAAAGGAGTCTTTAATTATGATTTTGCTACTCTCAATCATTAATAGAGCTTGAGGTATTTAATTTAATTATATTATAAAGTGTGTAGATCTCTCATATGAAATCCAAGAACAAGTTGTGCTATTAATAGACAAAATGTAAAATAAAAATAATATCTTAATGGTGACTTTGTCAAAAAAAAAAAATCATTTAAAGATAATAGTTTAGTATTTAAAAAAAATGTAAGGACTGAATTCTCAGACAACAAGGCGTAAAAATGAAAAATCAGAAGGAAATTTCCATTGTAAGAATTGTTCTTCTGAGCAAACTAACACGTCAACACCTTCCTTGTTTGACTGTCCCCGGACTTGCACTATAAAAGTGATACTATATCTGTACAGCTCAAGTAATAGAGGCAATCATTTCTGTAAAGCCATTTCAAAGGTGACATCAAACAAACCATAGTAATCTCCATCGCCAGAGAATCACAAAGCAGCCATTCAGCTTACTCATACATATCACTTTACTATTTAGCCTTGCATTACTAGAAACTATCATAGCCATGGCTGAGCTTCCCTTGAGCTTAAGAATGGTGCCAGCACTTGTGACTCTGTACTTGTTCCTCTGTTTCACAAACTTAAGCAGTTGTGAGGCTAGAATCAGACGTTATAGATGGGAGGTGAAGTATGAGTACAAGTCTCCTGATTGCTTTAAGAAGCTTGTTATCACCATAAATGGCGGAACTCCTGGGCCCACCATCCAAGCACAGGAAGGGGTGATACCATCGTTGTTGAACTTAAGAACAGCTTGTTGACAGAAAACCTTGCCATCCACTGGCATGGGATTAGGCAGGTCAGACTTCGATTTTTTTCCTATCCACACACAAAATTGATCTGAATCATACTTTTTCTGCAAATTAACTTGGTTTACGTGGTTCTGTACATGGCAGATTGGAACTCCTTGGTTCGATGGTACAGAAGGGGTGACTCAGTGTCCAATACTGCCAGGAGACACATTTAAGTACCAGTTTGTAGTTGATAGAGTAAGTTGTAACCATCTGATGTTAGTTTGAATAAGAGCCATTGTGTTGATTTCTCTTCAACATTGTTATATCTAGAAAGCTGGTTTAATTTGTAGCCTGGGACGTATCTGTACCACTCACACTATGGAATGCAAAGAGAAGCTGGACTGTATGGAATGATCAAAGTGTCACCTCGTGATCCTGAGCCCTTTGCTTATGACTACGAAAGAAGCATTATTCTTAATGATTGGTTCCACAAAAGTACCTATGAACAGGCCACGGGATTGTCGTCAAATCCTTTTGTCTGGGTGGGAGAGCCTCAGGTAAATCACTTTGCTCTTCAATGCTCCAAACTAGTTCAACTCAAATTCTGCTAGTTTTGATTTCGTACTTCTATGCAAATCTCGTGAGTTGATTTCATGTTTGTCTTCTGCAGTCTCTTCTGATTCAAGGAAGAGGAAGATTCAATTGCTCTATACTCACAACTCCAAGCTTAGACGCCGGAGTTTGCAACACATCAAACCCTGAATGTTCTCCTTATGTGCAAACAGTGGTCCCTGGAAAAACATATCGACTCAGAGTTGCTAGCTTGACTGCTTTATCAGCACTCAGTTTTCAAATTGAGGTCTTTTTTTTTTCCCCCTCAGCGTCTTATAATTTCCCCAGCAAATCGGCCTTAAGACTATTTACTGACAGAGTATTTTAACACGCAGGGCCACAACATGACTGTGGTTGAAGCAGATGGCCACTATGTTGAGCCTTTCGTGGTTCAAAACCTGTTCTTGTATTCCGGGGAGACATACTCTGTTCTTGTGAAAGCAGATCGAGACCGTTCCAGGAATTACTGGATCACTTCCAATGTTGTTAGCAGAAACAGAACCACCCCACCTGGTCTGGGCATTTTCAATTACTATCCCAACCATCCACGGCGGTCCCCTCCGTCAACTCCACCGACTCCCCCGGCTTGGGATGACGTTGAGCCCCGGTTGGCTCAAAGCCTCGCCATTAAAGCTCGCTCAGGGTATGTAATCCAGCCTCCCTCAACCTCAGATAGAGTCATAGTGTTGCTCAACACGCAAAACACCATAGACGGTTATCGACGTTGGTCGGTGAACAATGTGTCGTTCACTCTTCCTCACACCCCTTACCTCGTTGCCTTGAAACAAAACATCACCGACGCTTTCGATCAGACCCCACCTCCTGACAGCTACGATTCTCTTGGCTACGACATCTTCAAAGTGCAAAACAACACGAATGCCACTTCTAGTAATGGGATTTACAGGCTAAAGTTCAACACGACGGTTGATATTGTACTTCAGAATGCCAACACCATGAACAAAAATAACAGTGAGACGCATCCATGGCATCTTCACGGGCACGACTTTTGGGTTCTGGGATATGGTAAGGGTAAGTTTGATGGAAACAGAGACCCAAAGAAATACAATTTGGTGAATCCGATGATGAAGAACACGGTGGCAGTACATCCGAATGGATGGACAGCTTTGAGGTTTAGGACGGAGAATCCAGGAGTGTGGGCATTCCATTGTCATATAGAAGCTCATTTCTACATGGGGATGGGTGTGGTTTTTGAAGAAGGAATTGAGAGGGTGGGCAAGCTGCCTTCTTCCATCATGGGTTGTGGTAAAACCAGAGTTTCTCACACGCCTTGATTCAACTTTATACCGTTTCATTACTGACTGACAACACTCATTCTATTTCACCAGCATGAAGGTCTTGAGAACAGAGTGATAGTGGGAAAGAGAAACTTATATTGTTTGGATACTCTGGCCAAACAGATTTGACTGTATTCATCTCAATTATTTGTTAACGTTGACGATATTTACTTTTAAAAACAGAGGTCCATATGATTATTTTTCCCGGAGTTTGTGAACCCTTGAATGTCATTACCATGTCAGAAACTCTTTCTTCAAATTGAAAAAATATGCCGCCAGTTAATGTTACTATTGAATCACTAATTTTAATGTGCATAGCTTAGGGGATCAAACTTTATTGAAGTTATTCGAATCCAAACAAAACAGTCTAAACTCAAGTGAAATCAGTCTTGCAACTTCTTTACCCAAGAAATGCAGTAATAGCGAAATTAATGAAAATATTTTCTCATTTTCTGAAAGTAGGTGCACGATATATATATATATATATATATCCCGTTAGTCAATATCATCAGCAAAGGGAAACAAGTCAAGAATATCATTCTTTAAGAAAATACAAGAACAAGAAACATATCAAGAAAGCTCAGAATCAACAAACTTTTACTAAGGTGTAACAGAGTGTTGCCGTATACACCATAAGCTAAAACTGAAGAAATGGATGAAGAAAAACCTCTTGGATTGACTCAGTTTAAGACTCCACTCAAGCGGCAACGAACTAACAGGGAACTAGAAACAGCGCACTAACCATGAAAGACAGACAACTAGATGCGTGTCACAAGACACTCGAACTCTCAAATCACAGACCATGGTGATCTTCGATCTCCACCATTGGCTTGGCCTGAGGTATTGGCTGCCCGCTGCAATTTCCATTCCCATCCATAGCAGCACAGGTTCCTTCCATCATCTGATCTGAAGACGCATGAGCCGCTCCTTCACCTCCAAGTATGCTGTCGTAAGCCGCAGCGACAGGGCTAATATGTGGAAATGGCAAGTAAACACTGTGCACCACTATCTTGATATTGCGGATAACGTCCGGCACCTTAACCCTCACATAGTTAATCCTCATCGGCGCTGAAGTCAAGCCTCCACTTGAGGTAGTGATAAGCAGCGTTTGGCCACGTTCCAGAGTCGGCAGAGGCGTTCCTACCGGTAGCTTCTCCAGGTCCGTAAATGTCAAGTAATGGTTCGGCACGATGTGAAACCTCACATTGCTGATATAAGAATGTGAACCGGAGAAGATGGAGAGATCGTCAACGGCGAATATCGTCATGTTATTGAGTGTGACCAGCTCGGAGTACTTCACCTTCATAGCAAGGGCTAGGATGCTGAAGCCATTGTTACGTAGTCGGAGAATCGCGTCTCTGATCATCAGGCGCGTGATGGCTGTCTGCATTGAGCCGGACGTGGTGTGGTGACCGGAACGATGGTCTAGATGGTAAGGATACGAGGGCGAAGACATCCTCTCCACTTCGCAAGAAAACGGAGACAGTGGTGAGACAAAGCCTTGAATGCCATGAATAACAACCATACCATTGTTGAATAACTCCGGCTGCGTGATCTCCATCCCTCCGACAAACACCTTCACTTCACCAGCAGTGCTGGAGTTTCTGTGGACCGAATCAGACGTGAGAGTAATGCAACGACCTGGACTCAAGGTTTCGATCTTGGTTCCGAAGGCAAGTTTCCGCAGATAATCAATGGTAAAGTATCCAGGAACGATGTGCTCGCGAAGAAGATTAGGAACAGAGCAAGAGAAACAGGTGCGAAGGGAGGCATCTGACGCAGCAAAGATCGTAGAAGGACCAGTCCAGGAAGAGGCAGCGGAGGAGGTTGAGTCAGAGAGTAAAGGAGCCGCCGTGGCCAGCTCGTGGAAGCCAAGATGAGACAAGATCGGAGGGAGGAGTGCTGTGTGTGAGAAGAATGAGTGTTCTTGGAGTTCTTGTGGAGCCGGCGGTGGTGTTAACGGTACGGTTGGAGGCGTGAAGCTTCCTTGCAGTCCTTCAATAGCGGTCACCGTGGGTGAGCAAAGCATTGCAACGATCGAAACGGCACAGAGCAATGAGAGTTGCAGAGAAGTATCCATGACGGAGAGAGAAAAGGAATCAGAGAACTGTTTCGAAATTTCAGAGAGAATGCGAACCACAATGAAAGAAGCGAGTGAGTGCGAAAGAATTTATGCGTGAAATAGTGAGGAAGCGGTTATGAGGTCGTTAGATGAAGCTGACGCGCGCATGGGTGGTTATGAGATTTAGCTGCATTTGGCGGGAAAACTGAAAACCAAAGGAATATGAAGAAACTTGAAAAGGACAATTCCGTAATTTCAAAATTTAATGGGGGAAATTGTTAGAGGGCCTTCATTCTCGAATCCTGTTTTGAACCCAAAAGCCCGAGCCCACTTGCACTGCCTGCCGGGGACAAAACAAATAGTTCTACTTACATTTAAAAAAAAAAAAGAAAAAGAAACTTCTACTTCCTCTTCACATCACATACGAATTTAAATCCTCAAAATTTGATATTTATAATTCATGTAAAATTTTGTAAATATTTTTCTCATTTTATTATTTTTATAAAATATCAATTTTTCTATATTTTTAAAAGATAAATTTATTAAATTTACAGATTCTCAACTTTAAAACATACATTCTCAACTTTAGAAGATACATTCTCATCACATACAGTTATCTCCATTTTTAAGTTGGATAATTCAATTTAAAAAAAGGGAGAATAATAATTAAGGACCTTCTAAGATCATTAATTCTAATTACAGATTGTAAAATTTTGAAATTTCAGTTAAGGACTATGGTCTTTAATTGTGATAAAAAATGTAATTTGTGAGGTGGGATTTACTAATGCAACTTGTAAATTCACTAATTCAATTTAAAAAAATTACTAACATATATTGTACAAACATGAAACCCCATTTAAAAATAGAATGTTTAACAAAAAACGTCACTTGAGAATTCACTAACTAGACTTGACAAAATTTCTAACATATGTTGTGAAAAAATGAAACCCTACTTGAGAATCATTAATAAAAAGTGACTTGTCCAAATTGGTGTTTTTTATTAAACAATCGATTCTCAAGTGGAGTTTCATGTTTTTATAATATACGTTAAAAATTTTTTCAAGTCGAGTTAGTGAATTCTTAAGTGGCGGTTTTTGTTAAACAATTAATTTTTAAGTGGGGTTTCATATTTTCACAATGTACATTACAAATTTTCTCAAGTTGGGTTAGTGAATTTCTAAGTGGTAATATTGAATTCCACCTCACAAACTATATTTTTTATCACAATTAAGGACCATGATCTTTAACTGAGATTTTAAAATTTTACGATCCGTAGTTGAGACTAATACTTTTAGAAAGTCCTTAATTGTCATTCTCCAACAAAAAAAATACTATTGTCAACTTTTTGAATTAACAAGGGATATTTTGGTCTATGGCCAACGAATCTTCAAAAGAGAGGGATAAATCTGTAATTTCAATAATTGAAACGGATAAATATTTGGCCCGAAAAATTGACAATTGTGCGAGGCTCGAAATTGATGAATACAACTCTAAACCCAAATCGCAAGCCACTTATCTATTTAAATAATGAAATTACATTTAAGTACAGTAGTCAAGCCATGATAGATCAAGATGTCCATTATATATATATATATATATATAATATAAAATTTATAGTAATCGATATCCATATCATTTATAAATCATAGGAAGTTGGATAATTTCATTTTAACTAAAACCACAGCAACTTTTTCAAGTAATGAGTGAGATTTTGTCTATTCTTAAGCAATGGTAAATGAGAAGATGCTATATATACTCTCTCATCTTAATTTATAAAATATTATTTCAAAAGACATTATATTTTAAAATATAAGACATTATGATAAAAATAAATTTTATTAATAACATTTTTTTAATATTATCAAATTAAGAGAATTTTTTTAAAATTTCATATTTTTGTTAAAGTTGTTAAATATATTTAATAATTTTGTTTAAAATGTTTTATAGATTAGGACAGAGAGAGTATTATTTATTTCTACTGTGTTAGGACTTGGAAAACGTATCTGCCACAGTCTCACTTACTCACTCTAATAATTTGTAATAATTAATTAATCAATGGTAACGTTGGCGTGATTAATTATGTGTGGAACCCTACGTGCTGGCGGAAAACATATGCTATGCCTTTACACTTTCTTAGGATCTGGTAAAGGCTGGCTGAGAGGGTCCAAAAAGCAAAAAATAAACAAATACACAAACTACGTAAAGGTCATTCCCGTTGGTTCACGTTCATCGTGAGAAAAGGATATGCTTTCCCTCAGCATCACTTGTGATCTCTGCTTTGGCAGGCCAATCTCAACAATATTTTACCAAGTACTAAGGTTTTTTTAGTTTTGAGAAAAACACAGTCCCTATACTCTAAATGTTTTAATTTTTAGTCTTTGTAATTTATTTTCATTGTTCTCCATCTCTTTATATTTTTTTTCTACTTGGTCTACTGCAATGTAGTCATTTTGGTTTAAAAATAAAGGATAAAAAAAATACTCATAAGGACCATAAATTGTACTTATTTGGTGACATGTGACTTAACACAATTTATATTTCATCTGGCCCAAACAGCATCTTCCAATTATTACATATTTAGCAATATTAAGTCCATGTCAGCAAAATAGACATCACTGGTTTAGTTCATTGTCCTTATGAGCATTTTTCAAATCAGAAAGGATGCTAAACAACTGAAATGAAACAAAATATGATTAACGTGTAAGACCTGAATAATATTGCGTCCTTAGTTTTCAAACTCAGCTTAAGCGTTACATAAGTTTTGAACCTAGTACTACTTATATATTATATTATATTATATATCTTATATATATATAATCATTTCCTTTGGTACTACAGTAAAAACCAGAAAAAAAAACTATTCCTGCAAAACCACAAGTACAGAGGAGAAGGAAGGCCATTGGAGGGAGTGTGAGCCAAAACAGGCATGATTATTACCTTATTTAAAATCTTCTCTTCCCTCCAAAAACATTGAAAGAACAATAATTACATAACAGAGCAAGAATTGGGGTTGTCATCACTGAAGAAGGAGATGTAAGAATCTTCATATCAGAGCAAGAATTGGGGTTGTCATGAAGAGGAAGAACAAGAATGTAAGGAATCTTCATATCTTGTTGCAGAGAGGGCTGCAATGGAGGAAGAAGAAGAAGGCTCAACGTTTCTGACAAAACCAGGAGGAGCTTCTTGTCATAAGCAGGAGCAGCATAAGGATGAGCCACCAAATTGTAAGGCACGTAAGGCCATATCTCTGCTCTCTTCCCTGTTGATTTCGCCTTCTTCAACACTTTGCTTGCTTCCACATGCCCTGTCACTGTCACTTTCTGCATCTTCCTGTTTATCTCCACCGATCTCACCCCTACATCAATTAACCATTGACCATCCCATTAATCATCAATTTCATATTTATTTCAGTGACCTTAAACCACAGAAATTGAAGTCTCACCACTTAAGGAAGAGAGGGCTTTCTTGACCTTAAGTTCACAGCCTTCACAGTCCATTCTGACTTTGAGCTCCACAGTCTGAAATGGCTTCTTCTTCATCATCTTGTTGTAATGGCGGTGCTGGTGATGGTGGTTTCCACTTCCCATTAGATCAGATAAGTACTCGAGAGTGCCTCCAACGCCCATTTCTGTGTTCAGAACCAAACAGCTTTACAGAAAAGAGAGAGAGAGAGAGAGAGAGAGAGAGAGTGTGTGTGTGTGTATCAGAAGATGTTGAGAGATGGAACTTATAATTCAGTTATATAATTTATTTTGAAAACATACTAAAGAAGAAGAAGAAGAAGAAGAAACGCAGGGGGGAAATAGGATTCCTTGCTTACCGGGGAATAATCAATAAAAGATGATGTAAAGGTAGATAAGTATTGCTTTGTGTGTGTGATGTGGTGAAGAACTTTCGTTTCTTTAGTTGGTTTCAGAGATCTTTAGCACATCACAGGACACAGCCCTTCTTATATAGAGACGCTTTTTCTCATCAGTTTCCCACAGTGGAAAGGTCGTGGCCCCCACAATTTAAAAAAAGTCCTCTGAAACCCTACTTTTGCCCTTTAATTAATAATTAGTGTTCAATTAATTTTTTTTAAAAAAATTAATTATGATAAAAATGACCATATTTTGGTCCTTATAAATAAATATCTTCATGACTGAGTATTTATTTATAAATATGACCTGTCAATAAATATTCATATGCTAAAGTGTACCTTTGGTCTTATAATGTATATAAGATTTCAGTTTAATCTCTTAATTTTATAAAATATTTTTTCATTTCCTCAACTTTAATGTCATTAGTTTTAAATAATTATTTTTCATGCCGATTAATGTTATTTTAAAATATTAAATTTAATATGTTAATATTTAAAAATATTTTTGCTAACAAAAAAAATTTAAGAATTTAATGTTAATATTTAAAATTTCAATATAAAATATTTCATTAACGAAACTAATAGTATTAGGGTTAAAAAACTGAAAGGATATTTTATAAGATTAATATATTAAAATAAAATCTTGCATAAAATTTAAAAATTAAAGGTGCATCTAAGTGATATCCATATATATTTCATTTTTGTATAATTATTGTTTTGTTATTACTAGTGCTATTAAACTCAAACCAGGTTCCACTAGTTGAATCGATTCTAAGTCTGGTTTGGTCGCAATTGAGAATCGATCAATCTGATAATCAGTCTTAAACTAGTAGAACTAGTGAAAAATCTAGTTGAAACAATTTTTTTAATTTTTTTAATTTTTTATTTTTTAAAATTTGAATTCATATATATATATATATATAAAAAATATAAACTACAATTTATACATATGTATACCTAATAAGCATTGATAAATGAAAAAAATGAATAAATATGCAAGAAATATATGTATAGAATATGTATATATGTATATATTTTAAAATTATAAATTATAAATTATGAAATAAGAGTGTGTATGTGTGTTATATTTAAATGATGGAATATTACTGGATATTACTTATTTTATTTTATATTATCTCGATTGAAATTTAAAAATTCATTTTTATTATTATACATAATTATTTCTTTTTATTTTAAATATATATGATTTAAAATATATCAATTTATTTATAACTGATTGAATCACACTTTAAATCATAGTCTAACTATTATGTAATAAACCAATACTTTAATTGATTTAATGACTAGTATAATTTTCTTAACATTGATTATTATAGCAACACTGCGTCGTGAGAAGAAAGATAGACACACGGGGTTCATTCACTTCATCGTCAATTCCTTTAACTTAATGGGGAAAAACAATTTATGAGATTTGGAAACGAAATGAAGAAAAGGGTAAAAGTGGGAGAGAGGAGTACAGAGGGTTAGCTGCTTATAGTTGTACGGACACCTTGCTCTCTGCCTTTAATTTAGCCTAATTTTAGCCCCATTTGGATTTTAAATTCATGTCATATAAATTTAAAAAAGCCATCCAATTATAGATTAAAAAAATTATTTTAGAAAAGTTACTTTCCATTATGCTGGATCCATATATATGATTTAATAATAACGTACATCAATGACCGTAAGCAAAATATACTTTTATTTTTATAATTTTACACAAAATTTCAGTTTGGTTCCTTTTTTTTTTTCATCTCTTAGTGTCCTGGGAAGCTCAGGGTATTATCACTCCCCACCAAATTAAAGTGTTTTTTTAACCATTTAATTTTAATATTTTTAATTTTATTAAAAAAAATATTAACTCTAAAATTTAAATACTAATAAACAATTATCAAATGATAATATTTTAATCCAATCATTTTTATTTTTTTAAAATTAAATATAATATGTCATTTTAGAATGTTTCAATTGGTGAAATTAAATGCCTGTTTAGTTATTGGCAAGGAAGATGATGGAATGAGTTAAAGAAATAAAAACAAAAATAGAATGATGAGGATATGGAGGGAAGATAACTCAATCATGTTAATGAAAACGAAGAATAATTTAGTTTATGAAATTAAAAGTTACAATTTATGAAATTTGTGAAGGAAGTAATGTTTATCGCATTTGTGTTATATGGTATTTAATTTTATCTTGTTTATCATGAAAGGGAGGGTAATTAATTTATTTTTATTTATTTAATTTATTATATTCTCGTTCTTTTCGATAATCAAACGGCTTCGAATGATGTTAAACTAGCTCGAAGATTAAAAAAATATTTTTTAAAACTTCTCATACTTGATACCAAGCAAACCATTGAAACAGTGTATCCAACAGAACATAAACCCGCAAACGAATCCTATTGCAAGCAATAAAAGGAGCTTCACCTCTCAAGAAATCCAACGCTCAACTCTGTTCATCACACACCATCATTGATAGCAGAATCCTTCACAACACAATGTAGAGTATCTTTTAAAAGTTTTGCTTGATCTCTAACATATATGGCAGTATATAGTATTTATAATTATTTTTCTCAACTATATTCATATTTAATTTATTACTCTTTTTGAAAAATAATGCATTGGAATTTTAATTGTCATTATTAAAACACTTATATATAATATTTAATAAAAGTATAATGAAAAATATGTAATTTTGTTATAAAATTAAAGTTTCACCTAATATTTTTTTAGAACCGTGAAATATTTATCATTGTGTTATATTGTAGTCTAACGGAATAATTTGTTGCTCCAATGTAACTTTTCTTTAATTTGTTTCTATTTCCCTTGTTTTTTTTGATCATTCCCCTTGATCGTTTGTTGGGGTTACTGTATATATTCTTTGTGTTATTTATTGGCAGTGAATCCCTCTTCCACTATAAAAAAAAAAAAAAACAGTGCACTTTTGCCATGATTGTATATATTTTATGGATGCTATTTAAAAAAAAAATCAAAATCGAACGGTGCAATAAAAACACATTGAAGTATGAATTATATTTCACTATTTAGAAATTATGAATAATTAATTATCTAATACTCCTAAAAACATTTAGTCCTCATCCTTGGAGTGAGTACTCTGGCATATATAGTTTAAACTCATCATATCTACCTACTCTTACACCAAATTCAAGTTTCTTTTGAGTCGTAAATGTACAACTTGCACTTTAATTCATGTTAGGATATGATCGGGGCAATGTAAAACGACAGTTTGCTCATTTAGTAGTTAATTATTTCACTTTTTTTATTAGAAGAAAAATATTAAAGCAATAAAAATAACACATGCAAGTTGATTTAACTGATTGAAATATTCAAATTAAATTTTATACTTGGTGACACTTAATAAAGCAAGCTGATTTAGTTTAAACAATTTTACGATCGCAAGTATATACTCCATATACCTTTAACGCTTTAATTGGTACTCTTGATGTCACTTATTACTATATCATCAACATACATTTATATATAACATATATAGAATGTCATACTCCATTCATAAGAGATAATTTTGGAGGGGTTTACTTTAGTGTCCATTTATATAAATAAGATGAGCTAGCCCATCTAAAAATGATCACAATCAATAGAGGGCGAAACTAAAATAAATAAATTTCTAAAAATTAAATAATTTATATATATGAATTAGGTAATTGTCTCTCATAATTAAAAATTAGAGGAAATACTATTTATAAATTATAAATAATATATCTCTCTTTATCCCACGATCAATTCTTGTTAAATATAAATAGAAAGAATGACATTTAAGGCTCTCTTAAGAGAATTTATAGCAATAAAAGCCCATCATTTTTGCATTAAATATTGTCTTCTACAAATACATACATATAATTGTTAAAGCTTGAACCTTAACTTGTATTTTTTATTAGGGTTTCCTTAAAAATTTAACTAGTTAAGATTCAACAATGACATATACATGATTTTACAAGACAATACCCCATGCAAAATTGATGGATCCTTATTGCAATAAATTTTTTTAAGAGGGCCTTCAATATCATTCTTCCATATAAATATGTTGATACTTAAGCCTTAAGGCTAAGTCTTCTTCTAATAGGCATATGCATGGGACTAGATGAGACTATGATAGCCTTATCTTATACTTCATTTCAAGAAAGAACTAAGATTGAATTTTAGTTTCATGTCATATTTTGTCTCAAAAATTGTTTCGTCTCATTTGAGATCAAAACAAGATTGAGAAATCACAGCAAAAGAGAGAGAATGAAATTAAAATAGAAGATATGAAAAAGTAAGGATTAATCAACTAATCTCTTTGACAACATTCATGTTTGCAAATTCAAAGTAATTAAGCACACTTTTTTTCTTATTTTTTTCCAATAAAAATCTATTTGTTTTTAAGCATTATCGTTCAACAATCAATTCAAGATGTAAAATAATAAGAATTCTTAGAAATGTGACATAAAATATAATATCTTGTAAACTCAAAAATCAATATTTTACCTTAAATTACAAGTTGAAATACCATTGATATATAGAACTATTAGCTAAAATGAATCTTATAACGCAAGCAATAAAACTAGCATAACCATAATAAAAAAAATATAACTTAAGTTCAACATGATATTTATTAAATTAAATAACTTATAAGTCGAAAATAACAAAAATAAACAACCATAAATTACAAGTAATAAAATATAAAAAAATGAAAATAGTAGAAATTTTAATTTTAGGAAAAATAAATTAAAATAAGTTTATTATCTATAAAACAAACTAATAAAATAAAATTAATAAGTTTATTATCTAAATTCCCATGAATTTTTTATTTTTGACATTTTCTCATTTTTTATTTTTTTATAAAATATAAAAATATTCTACCTCTTTCTCAAAAAAGATAAATTTCATGAAAT